GGACAGAAATGCATCACGTGGTCCTCCAGGCCATAGTAGAAACACTACTGCTGGGACAACCATTTCACTTGTAACACATAGGCTAACAGAATGTAACAAAATGATTTGTTTTTCAACCATAAAAAAATGTCAGGCATGCAATGACCTGCTTAGCTCTGCACCCTTATGTCCTCCACAAAGTTTTGTACTCACCCTTGCCAATAGAAAAACTTTAATGAAGGTATCTGAGGTCAAAACAAAGGCATAGAAAATTGGTTTGAGGGCTATAACAACCATGAAATGAGAGAAGACTTCTTCCAAGATCAGGGTAAGAGATTTGGAGAGACTAACTACACGGTCTCTAAATGGACATGAATCCAGGTCAACAGATTCCCAAAGTACATTCCTTTTTGGGTGGTGGGGTTATTCTACTGGGATTGGAGGGCTCGGGGGTTAAATTTCTGTACCGACTAAAAATAAGGTAGATAGTCCACAAGAGCCTTTATCCAAGTTACTTTGCTGCTAATTAGCTGAAAAGGAAAATTTTTCCTTTTCTAGTAATCTCTCTACCATATGTGATTTTAAAGAAGACTAAAATACAGACCTTTCCTTTTACCTCCTACAGGTTAATATGTTTGGTCTTTTTAAAATGTGTTCAAGAGTTCCCTCAGAACATTTTTTAGTACTTGGTTTCAAATCATCCTGGCCAGGCTGGGCAAAACGCTGTTCAAAGGAACACAAAACAGCACACTGTTCTTGGAGCTTTCATCCTATCTCTTCGTCCTAGAATGACTAATGGAGGATAAACCAACTGGCCCTACCTGACAGCCTATCGATAAAGAAAGGGAATTTCACCAAGGCCTCTTCATTCAAGGGAGCCAGAATGCAATCTGCAGTGTGTTGTGTCTGTTCGTTACTAAGCAGTCCAAGCAATACTGAAAGTAGAAAGAAAGAAAACACAAATTTCTAAATGATTAGTATCCATCAGATGAATCTGTGAATGCAGAAGTTTTGCAGATACTATATGAATGTGTTAATTCTAGGGGCACCTGGGTGGCTCAGTGGGTTGGGTGTCTGCCTTCAGCTCAGGTCATGATGGGAGGGAGGTGGGGGCTGGGATCCCATTGGCACCAGGATCCTTGCTCCGCAGGGAGCCTGCTTCTTCCTCTCCCTCTGCCATCCTCCCCACCCCCCACCATTTATGCTCTCTAGATCTTTCAAATAAATAAATAAATAAAACATTTAAAAAAAAATGAATGCATTTAATTCTAAACAAGATGAGCTAAATAGGGGTACCTGGGTGGCTCAGTGGGTTAAGCCTCTGCCTTCAGCTCAGGTCATGATCTCAGGGCCCTGGGATCAAGCCCCACATCTGACTCTGCTCAGCAGGGAGCCTGCTTTCCCACCCCCTCAGCCTACCTCTCTGCCTAGTTGTGATCTCTCTCGCTCTATCAAATAAATAAATAATCTTAAAAAAAAAGATAAGCTAAATAAATAAGGCTGCTAGGGACAAAATCTTACTACTAAATTTAAAAATCTGCTGTTAAAGACCTTGAAAGCAATACCTATGAGTTTTTAAGCAGTTGTCCATCGATAGTTCTGGGTATGTACAGAACTGATTAAATAAAAAAAACTAAGTGGTATTACATAACCGAAACTTTAACTGAAAAAGGATAAAGTATTCTACAGTGACACCTACTGGTGAAGTGTAACATAGTAGCCTGACACTATTAGACAAACCACTATTGGACAAACAGATGTTTACATCTCTGTAACATGTTAGAAAGCTACAGGAAAAGATTTAATGATAGTCAAAAGGGAAAAGCTAAACAAAAACATTACACATACCAGAGTCTATGAACTGCAAAGTAAGCCCAACAGGTCACCATGATTCTTCCCAACCAAAAATTTTCCAATCAATAAATGTGAACTAAGTTACCCCTGGCCCCAACTGGCCATGCAAGTGAAATTTTCATACGCAAGTTAAAGGCAAGATGTCCAATTTACTCATGTTTCTTTTATATTTTAAAGAGTAAAACTGAAGAGGTAAAACTGAGTTCTGTATGAAACTAGATATTTTATTGGTTTTCAGTTTAAGTTGAAGACTTAAATGAAAGGTAGGCACTTGCTTTAAAATATCCATTATATAAATTCCCTAAATTCTAAACATCACTTTTCAACAAAATGATCACCAAGATAAAGAGAAAGCCAAATAATCACTTTCTCCCTAAAATGAATGTTTCAAAGGACTGAGTCCTTCTCCCCCATGCTTTTATACAAAAATTTAACAAATAATATTTCATATGACTGATGTCGTCATCAACTTCAGACTTTCAATGCAACACATCTCGAAAAACTTCCTATTTAGGCCCGTGCATTTCTTCTCAGACTAAGATTTTCAAAAGTACTATTTCAAACCTAATTTTAGTCAAATTTAACTGGATATGAAAAAAAGCATACTTTTTTATTAAGCAACTTGGTGTGGTATGCCACAGACCTAACCAAAAAGGAAGAGATCATCTACAGAGGGAAAGGGATAATCTACTTCAAATCTAAAATTCCCATAAAATCTTACAAATTAGAGGACCTCAAATTCAAGTATGATGGTATCATGAATGAGTGACAGAAAACTTGAGTTCTAGTCTTGGATCGTCCATTAACTAGTTGGATTTCAAAGACCCACCCAACCTTCAATGAACTACACGAATTTTCTGGGCATTAATTCCCTCATCCGTAAAATTAGAAGAGGGAACTAGATGGGCCTTAGGGTAATGCCACTACTAAAATTTCTTCAGCTTCTGTGATTTCCCAGCAGATGAGAATGGTTTGGGAATCAATGTCTCTACCTCAAAGACTCAAGAAACACAGCAACAAAAAGGAAGTCGGCTTTATCTTCCAGGTATAACCTGCTATATAAGCAAACAAGACAAACAGAATTACACTTTCAAACTGTTTAAGACTCAAAGAATCGCTGTTTCCACCTCCAGTGCCTTCTACCTGGCACACAATCAGAACTCACTACTACAAAAAATGGCTGTGGAAAAAGACTACTCATTACGTAACATGCAAGACTCCAATACCAACTCTTTCAGTGTTTTGTGTTCCGTTTTTGTTATGTTTTGTTTTGGTAATACAGTTACTTTTCTCTTTTACATACCATGTCTTTTCGTGACAATTGTGCAATCAATGTGAACAATGCGTAAAAGGCCACAGATCCTCAAATATGGACAGGAGTGGCAGCTCAAAAGTATCTAAATAGGCAAGTCAAAATACATTAATTTAGGTCGTAACATTTCCTATATTTATTACCTGCCTATTAAAACTGGTTCAGTGATTGAAGAACCAGTGGTGGTGAGAACACAATATATATCCCCCCCCAACTCCCCCAACCTGCCGCACTAATTCAAACCCAGTAATAGTCCTTAATACAATGACTTCCCCAGGCGCAATCAGGCCTCTTCTACCCACGAGTACAAAGAGTAAAATGGAACAAAGATGTGCCTCCCTTATAAACAGCTACAGAAAAACTTCTGACAGCAGTTAACATGAACAAAACAACAGTATTGTTCATCAGCTTTCCTGGCTTGCTGGTGAGGATCTTCCCATTTAGAAATTTTTAAAAGGGTAGCCAAAGCTGCCGGAGACAATTCACCTACTCTTCTGCCTCTTTAAGCAACTGACTGGAATTTAGGGACAAGTGACAAAGGAACACAAACTTTTACTTATGTCACTTAACCAACTGAGCCACCCAGGAGCCCCTTAACTTTTACTTATGTCAAAGATGAATTAATATGCTGTCTTTTAACTTCGAATTGTGTGTATCTTTTTTCATTTACGATATAAATATTAGCTCTTAGAATGTTAATTTGTGCAATGAGTTTAATTACACTACGTTCACCATTTAAATGTATTCATTCACTCATTAATCAAATATTTATTGAGCACCTATTAAGTCCAGGACTATTCTAGGAGTTGGCAATAGGAATGAACAAGGAGAGGGTGTAAAACAAGAAGGCAATACACAAGAAAATAAGATACTTTGACATGATGATAAGTGCTTATTAAAAAAAACAGTTATATGAAGTATGACTGTAGTTACCTAATTTATTTGTTTTATATATAAAATGATTACTTGTAGACCTCGGGAAACAGAAAGTCTCTATCATTTCAAAATGATCATCTCAAAAAGGAAAAACTGCAGCTCACATTCACACACACGTGTACTGCAGTTACAATATCCTAAATGAGTCCAAGGAAGTATAAAAGAAATAGAACCGCTGAAATATGAGATGAAACAGATTTAAAACATCTGCACTGTTCTCTTTGCTGGGTAAAGCACATGGAAGAAAAAGGTTAATAGCCAACGTGTTTTTTGTTTTGTTTTGTTTTTTTAAAGAGAAGACTGAAAAAATCGAGAGGTTCACCCAGTATTCTATGATATTCCATGATACTTTCAAGGCAACAACAACAACGCATGTTAAGAAAGCTACCTAGGAGCAAAAGTATTTAAAATTATTTCCAAAAACATTCAAATCACTCCCGCCCCCCCCACAAACACACCCGACACACACACACAATCACACACACACACACACACACAGAATATTACCCTGGTTGGGCAGGAACTTATTTTCTCCGACTTTGGCTCATTTCCAAACTCCCCAAAACATGCACCGCAAAGGTAAACTGGTTCCCTTACTCCCTCCCATCTTTGGATCCACGCACAGCCAAGAAAAGGTAGATCAGTAACCTCCCTTCTGGCTGCGCCATGCAGGTGAGGGATCAGCCGGGAAGGGGCTCCCCGGCGCGACCAACCCCAGGCCACGGACCCAGCTCCGCCCGGCCCCTCGGTCCTCCCGCCTGGCCCACTGCGCGCGGCCTCCGCCCCGCGCCAAAAGGAGGAGCGACGCGGAGGATGAAGGAGATGCACGGCGGGATCCGAGGAGACTGAACTGCAAAGCCAGCCGCCCGGGCCGGTCCCGGACCCCGGCCCCGCACTCCCGCCTCCGCACGCCTCTGACCTCTCCGGGCCCCGGGGCTGCTGCTGCCGCCGCTGGTGCCCGCGCCCGGGCTGCCGCTGCCGGAGCCGCTGCCAGAGCCGCTGCTGCTGCTGCTGCTGCTGCTGCTGCTGTTGCCGCCGCCGCCCTTGGCGTTCTTGCGAGGGGCCATTGCGCGCACTACCAGAACCGGCGAGGGGTGGTGGGGTTCCTCAGTGAGCCGTGACACCGGAGGCGCAAGGGCCGCTGACGGCGGCGAGCGCTGCGGCGGGTGCGGGCCGCTGCTCCTGCAGCAGCGCCTGTGTCTCGGCACCGCCCGCCGCGCCTCCGAGGACTTTCGCCCGCGTGCCGGCTGCGCGCGCCCAACACTCGCGTGCGCTGAACCTGTGACTCCCTCCCCTGGCGAGAGCGCGCGGCTCGCCCACCCCCCTCGGCCACGCCCCTTCCCGCCCGAGCCCCGCCTCCTCCCACCCCCGCGGAAGGCTGAATGACGGAGACTAGAGCCAATCACAACGGCTCCTGTGAAGGGACGGAACCCTGCTGTGCGTCCCCACCCCCTGAAGACTTGGGGCTGTTCTGGGCGCGTCGTAGCCGCCTGTGAGCGCGAGCCGCCTTCGACTTTCCAGTCTGTCTCGGTCCTTTGGAACGTGGCAAACGTGGAAGCCAGGAGGGCTCTCGCGAGCGTTGGCGGACCCGGTACAATCTGGATGGATGGGGCGGGGCGCGGGGGCGGGGACGACGGACACATGTGCAGCGTTCGCACCGAGCGCGGCCCCTTGGCCTTTCTCTGAGAGTTTTGTTCATATTCCACCTCACTGTACACATAGGCTCCAAGGAATGCAGTCCCGCTTCTTGCGAAAGAGCTGTGTTTCTCGTCTGTATGAACATTAAGGCATTTCTGAAATGGTGATATTAGGAGCAGTTCAAGGCTTAAGCCATATGTAATTGATCAGTTGGGTTTTAAAGCAGGACTTCATTTCCTTTGTGTCATCAATATTTTCAGAGAATCTTAGTTAACAGGCACGAGTGTAAATGTAAAGCAAAGAGTTCATTTTCTTGCCCTGGATGGCATCCTCTATCTGAAATCTCCGTCTGCCGGGCTAACGGCTACAGGCATCTTTCTTTGTTGTCCCCAACCGTGGGTCCCCTCCTGTGCAGTCGCAGAGGGACTGGGCCTGAGCCATCTGATGGCCACACGTGGTCTTAAAAATATCTGGGCCCATGGATGATCAGACAGGAACTTGCGGTCAGGGACGTCACCATCATCTTTGTGTCGCCCATTGCCAGCCCAAGTCCTGGTGCGTAATAGTTAAGCAAGAAACGTTTGGTGATTTGATACCTTTCTGGCAACTTCTTAAAACCTTCCCCCAGTTTTTGACCGTGTTTTGGAGACCCTACCTCTGGAAGTGTCTCAAGAGGGCTCCAACCCAGAGAAAGCTTTACGGTGTGGCATCCGGTTTCCTTCCTCTTCTCCAACCCCACTACCCCCTATTGGCAGGTGTCGGGGCCCACCTGACTCTTCCGCTTTGAATGGCTGGGTGCTGCTTGGGCACTGACTAGTGATACAGAGAGGCCCATAGAGAGCATGTTGCATAGAGGAAAGAAGTCCTCTCTCCTTTTTGTGAGATGTCAGATAGTTGTCAAGATATAACAGGGGGAGGGGAGCTCACAGTTTTTACTGAAGCGGCTTTGTTCTTTATCTTATCGCATCTCTTTCTGCCTCTACACATCCTTTCTCCCATCCAGGCCACCTTACATTATTTAAATGGGGAGGCAGAGAGCTGGGCCAAGAGTCAAATCTAAGTGAGAGTACCCGGTATATAATAATAATGAGAGCTGAAGTAAGAAAAACAATGCTCTAGATATTTGAACTCTTAAATTCTCACAAAGCCCTGTGTTTGTGTCCATTTTTTAGGGGTGCGGTCACTGAGGCCCAGAGAGGTTAAACAAAGTCATTGAAGTCATAGATGTAGTAAGTGATAGAGCAGGGACATGAACTCAGTCCTTCTGGCTCCAGAGTCTATGGTCCAAATTTTCCTTTCAAGACAAGGCTTGGTTTTGAGCAGAGATTGTCTCACCTCGCTCCCTCCTCTCTTAGCAGAGGTATCCCTGAAGCCTCCTCGTATCTTCAAAGATAAATCTAAAAGCTGAGGGTGGGTGCTTATCAAAATTCTCCTCTTTGAAGAAGTCAAATCTTTGATAACTGACTCCAAAATGTCATGAACTGATGCTTTGTTCCAGCATTTCCAGAAACCAAATCTGGTGCTATAGGCAAGGTCCATTGCTGTGTACTGAGGCAGTACTGGGCCAAAACAGAGGCTCTATAAAACAGAGCACAGGAAGTTAAAGGTTACCTGACTTCTTCCTTTTATCACAAGGTAACAGCCACAATGACATTTATATACTCAATAGTATAAAGTAAAATTTATAACAATATTTATAACATCAGATATTGTCAGTCATATATACAGTTTAGTTTCAGGGACCAAATTCTCCAAAGCTAAGCATCAGTATTATACATTTTACATCTGTTTATACTCCCTACTGTATGGGCATTAAAAACCACAAAGCTTGCCTTGGACCCATGAATTTCTTCACATGGGTTCTCTTCTCAGTCTTGGGCTGGGGGAGGTTAGAGAGTCAAAGTCTCTTTGAAATTGGATAAAAGGTCAAATATCCTGTTAGCCTATCCTCATTTCTGTGACTTCTGAGTAAGCTATGAATGAACCCTGGGTGAAGCAATGTTAAAAGGACCATAAAGACAAGACTTAACTAGGACAATGTATTAAAATACTAATTTAATAGCGCTTTTGAACTAGGCCAAATGTGCCTTTCAGATAGTTCCATAAACTTTCCATTGGCTTCACTGGGATTTGCAGTGAGAACTTGAGGACAAGATTTGTCCTAGATTTTTTTTTTCTTTTACTGACCTTTCATGACCTCTAGTCAAATGCTTTCCAAATTAGGTATTTCTGGACTTACTTATACCTACTAGAACACTGTTTTAAAGTTACATTTTAACCAGCTTCCTAGAAAGTGCATTTTTATGCAGTCCTCCTAATTTGAAATTTTATTATTACAGATTAAAAATGAGTATTTCCTCATCTTTATTTGCCATAGTAAATTCTGTCATAGTAGGAAGAATGAATTTCAGGTGGTCGTGATTCAACTGTATGTTTTCATTTTATATTAATGGAATGTGTTGCAATGAAGGCTATGTTGCTCAGTACAAGAGTACTTTTAAGGCGTTCTCAACATGTCCTCTCATAGTCAAAATGTCCTCAAAGCAGTTATTCTTATACTGGTTATATTTCAACAAGTAAATGAACTTTTTCACCAAACAACTTGACTTTATATTAATAAATAATTAATAAGCCTAGCTGGTATCTACATTATAAATATAGGGAATGAATTTATATGAGCAGAAATAATTTTAAACCTAGTCAAAAACAGATTCGAATTAGATATCTTGTGTTGTGGGGCACCTGGGTGGCTCAGTTGCTTAAGCATCTGACTCTTGATTTCAGCTCAAGTTGTGATCTTGGGGTCATGGAATTGAGTCCTGTGTCCCACTCTGCACTCAGCAGGAAGTCTGTCAGAGATGCTCTCTCTCTCATTCTCTCTCTCTATGTCTCTCTCTGCCCCTCCACCACCTCAAATAAATAAATAAATCTTTAAAAAAAGAAAAAAGAAAGACAGAAAGAAATCTTGGAGCACCTGGCTGGCTTAGTTGGTTAAACATCTGCATTCAGCTCTGGTCATGATCCCAGGGTTCTAGGATCGAGCCCCGCATCAGGCTACCTGCTCAGCAAGGAGCCTGCTTTGCCCTTTCCTGCTCACCTGTTTGTGCTCTGTGTCAAATAAATAAATAAAATCTTTTTAAAAATAATATAATATAAAATTTTAAAAAAGAAATCTTGTGTTGCAGTATGGAAAAATAGTCTGAAAACATACTCGCTAAGCAATCTATCATTTCTTTTTTCATTTTGCTTCTTGATATTTTCTATCAGGACTGGTACTTCTTAGTGCCAAATTCCCTTCCTAATAAACAGCATTTACATAATGGTTATTGCTAGATCTTAAGTGTTCTAGTACAGGGAACTCATAAAATTAATTGATTCTTCTTAAGTCTCAAACTTAATGCCAGAAAGAACCTTAAACCTAGAGAGAAAGTCAAAATAATTAGAGAGTAACAACTGATTAGAGGCATGGCAGTTCTGCAGTATATAAAAGGAAATATTAATGAGATTTAGGAGTCCTTAGAAAGTATCAGAGAAATCAAGAAAAGCAAAAAAAAAAAAAGATGTGGAGGAATCTCAAGGATTCAGTTCTTTGCAAGATAATAATTTTACTTAAACTTTATTTGCCTCAAGGATCTAATGTGTGTGTGTATGTATAACTAATCATTTTTATGCACTTCATGAAAACTACCATTCTCTTCAGGTGTAAACCTTTCCCCTAAGTCAAAAGAAAAGTATCCTGAAGCCACTTTCTAGGATCCTCTAATTTTATCAAATCTAAATACACAAAGCAGATATATTTGCCTTACAACAAATAATGTTATTACAATATGCAAACTGAATAATTAGCCAACTCAGATCCTTGGTAGTTGGTGAGAAATCATGCATACCCTACATCAAATTAGTATTGACTTGGCCCTTTTTACACTGTCATCATTCTGACTCAAAACTATTCTGCAATTTCATAAGCACATGACGGGCATCGCTGATCCCATATCAGAAAAAAAAAAAAAAAAGAAAGAAAGAAAGAAAAAAGAAAAAAAAAATTCCCCAAGAGACTCTGTCATAGAACTTGCTAGCACAGAAAATAAATGTATATGATACATAAATGTATCATTGAAACATGATTTTATTAACCTAAAGACCACTGCTAATATATTTGAAATTCTACTGTATGCCTTTAAGGAGTACAATATCCATCAAGCTTAAAATTTGTCATTATGTTGTGGCTATAAACTGATAGCCCTGAATATTTTGTAATTCTTCATGGAACTGCTACAAGGTTGACTTGATCACTCAATGAACTCACTTCTCTGTGGCAGATCCCTTTGAGTTAGACACAGTCTCCAGTATCTTCAATGCTTACTAAAGCTACTCCTCACAGCTCCTGAAGCATATCAATCTAGTAAAAGGTCATGGAAATCCCTTCCAAGCATCTGTCTCACAAATTCTGATTCTATTTTCCCGGCTCCTTTATGGTATCCACTGTTGCACACAGTTTTTTCCAGATCCAACACAAAAAAAGAATTTAAAAAATGCAGCTACCAAAAGGTATCCTTAAAGAACCACTTGGGCAA